TCCTCAATCGACAAAGCTGCGTCGATTGCAGATAAGATAGTTGCACGTGTAGGTAATGAGGATAATTTCCTCGTTGCCACGACATCGCAACTATACAGGAGGAATAAGGATAGGTATGCGGTACGGCCCTCACAGCCCCGACTACATTGCATATACCAGCGTTTGTCCTTCAAGGACAGAGTCCCGGTGCCAACAGCGAAGCCCTATAGGGCTAAGCCTAGGTTGGAAAGGGTAGCACAGCCTGCCCACGTTCGCCAAAAGCAATCAAAGGCTCAGAAGCCACCCTCGCGCAAACCACCCAAAGCCTCGGATGACCCCAACGAGGGTTACTGCGGGTTCCATCGTAGCTATGGACCATGGCTCGCCAGTTGCAGGAAGCCCTGCACCTACGCGACGGGAAAAGGGTAAGCCGGCGAGTAAAAGCGTCCTACGCGACGGGAAAAGGTTAAGCCGGCGAGTAAAAGCGGCCGTACTCGCCGGCCCGCCTCCTCAGGGCTGTTTTTCGTACGTGACCATCATACGAACGCTAGGTTCCTCGTAGATACGGGAGCCCAACTATCAGTCTTTCCTATCGGTAGCAGCAAGCCACGAGCTACGACGCTTCGGCTATGTACTGCAAATGGCACTCCCATTCCTACCCTTGGAACAAGGCAACTCACGGTCAACCTGGGAGGGCAACGACGGTATCCATGGACGTTCATGCTTGCAAATGATCCCACTGGAATACTGGGTATCGATTTTTTGCAGTACTATGAATTGCTTGTCGATTCACGTAGACTGCAGTTGATCACCCCAGCGTCTAATATCAAAGTCACGGGTCTCAAAACTCGAACAGACGTTTACCGAATCACGGGTTTAATGCCTGATATCCCAGTGGATTTCCAGACACCAGACGTTTACCGAATCACGGGTTTAATGCCTGATATCCCAGTGGATTTCCAGACATTGAACGCCCGATTCCCCACGTTGACTAAACCTATTGAGGATCTAACACTAATGACTGATCGTTG